ACTTTGTTTTATTGCATTTTTTTTAATTTTACGATTCAGAACAAATGTTCCTTAACTGGGGGTCCTGTTTTACAAAAAGAAATTGATGATTTAAATCCTACAAGAAGTTCCGCTTTTAAGTAGTATAAATATTAAGGGCTACAAAGGCCTTATTGAGGTCTAAAAAAGACCCAATGAATTTCTCAAAATTTCATAAAATTAACATTTTGGTAATTTTTTTTTTAACATCGATTACCCTCCATGGTAATCGATGTTAAAAAAAATTACCAAAATTTTCTAAAACCATTTCTGAAATAATTTGATTCATTTGTGAATAAGTCCTGAAAGTTTCATTAAAATCCAACAATTATATGATTTTTGCGAGAATTACTAAATCAATGTGATTTTCAACGCAAAAATAGACGCTAAAATTTTCTATACTAATCAATCGCACCCCTCCCCCGACGCAAAAAAATTAAAAAGATTTTCAACCAAAATTTCGTGCGTTCTCAAAAGGATCAAAAATATAATTTAATAGTCAAATAATCTTTTTCTCTTTCTTCTTAATAATAACAAAGATTTTGACGATAAAACTTTGTTTTTATCAAGTTTAGGCATTTTTTCATCAAGGTATGCTAATTTTAGCGAATCAATGGTGGTATCTGCCCTAAAACATTATTTACTGAGATCCACACTTCAATTTCTTGCAATGTCAAGTGTCAACCTCTTTGAATCTAATTAAATCGGCCACATTTCCCCCCTCCACCACCACATAACACCCACCAGAATTCTTTTTATTTATTAACATCTTGATACGGCAAACAAAAAACAAATTATTTTTATCGCCGCCCAAAATAGCCTTTTAATCATTGGCCGATTTTAAGAGTAGACTGACTTGTCAATTAGCTTCGCTAAGATCTTTTGATAGAATAAATGATTATACACAGTTGTTTTTTAATACTATTGCTTCTTAATTTGTGACTTGTCCCGTTCTGATTGTATGTAAATGTTTTGTTCATTTTACGCAAAACACAGACGAATATATTTGCAGTGACGAAACATCATCAACGTCTTAGCGGTGAGAACGACTGCATTTTCCAATTGTACTACGCCCGCGATTAAAATATCTGTCTCAGTTTACCCGCTTCTATCTATCTATCTATCTATCTATCTATCTATCTATCCCATTCTGTTCATATCTATCTATCTATCTATCTATCTATCTATCTATCTATCTATCTATCTATCCCCATTCTGTTCATATCTATCTATCTATCTATCTATCTATCTATCTATCTATCCCATTCTGTTCATTTTCTTCTTATTTCTATCTATCTATCTATCTATCTATCTATCTATCTCATTTTTCTTCTTATTTCAGTTTGTATGTATGTAGGTATATATGTATGTATCTATCTATCTAGCTATCCATATCTGTTAATATCTATTAAAGTTTGGTAATATCTCAGTCAGTTAATTATCTATCTATCTATCTATCTATCTATCTATCTATCTATCTATCTATCTATCTATCCAGCTCGCTAGCCTAGATCATTTTTCTTATTTCAGTTTGATCGTATCTATTTCAGTTCATCTACATCTATCTATTTATCTATCTATCTTATTTTCTGAGTATCTATCTATCTATCTATCTATCTATCTATCTATCTATCTATCTATCTATCTATCTCAGTCTGATCATATCTATCTATCTGTCTATCTCATTTTTCTGAGTATTTCAGTTTGTTTGTATGTATGTATGCATGCATGCATGTGAAATCTGAGATTCGAGTTCTAATTCCAGTCGGGTTCATTACATCCACTTACGCAGAGATACCCTTAGAGAAGGTATGAATTATCTGCTCTCCCCCCTCCCCTGCGACGGGTAAATGGCAGGACAACATGGACCCTATAGCCTTTGATGGCAACCAGTTTAAGAGAAGGAAAGCAGCGATAAGTAATCTTGCCCAAGGCACACCACTAATGTTACAGCTACAGTACATGTAGTGTCTAAACAACCCTGACGTTTTACGGTACACCTAATCTATCTATCTTAACCCTTTCGTATGAAGGTACGTTTCTTCATACCTGTCTCGGTATCATGCGTCCAGAACAGCTGAGAAAGTATCGACGATCTTTTATTGGACAGTGGTGTTTCAGACTTAACATAGGAAGGGAATTCAACGCAAACTTAGATAGATAGATAGATAGATAGATAGATAGATAGATAGATAGATAATGAACAGACTGAGATAGATGATAGATGAATAGATAATAGATAGATAGATAGATAGATAGATAGATGAATATATAGAGGTAGATAATGAACATACTGAGATAGATAGATAGATAGATAGATAGATAGATAGATAGATAGATAATGAACAGACTGAGATAGATAGATAGATAGATAGATGGATAGATAGATAGATAGATAGATAGATAGATAGATAGATAGATAGATAGATAGATAATGAACAGACTGAGAGATAGATAGATAGATAGATAGATAGATAGATAG